ATTAAGGAACAACGCAATTTGCAACATTAACTGAAATAGATAATTTTAGCTTAACTTATACCGTCCGTTACACATTAAACGAGCATGCGCAGAAAATTTGTAGCTTTGAAGTCCGGATTAAAGACTTTTGATTGTATTGTCCCTTGTATGTTAAAAACAACCAAACAGGTTATTGCAATCTTAATATTATATCATCCTATTTTGCTGGTTCCACTGAATTAACATTTCACTCATTTTATTCATAGGTAAATGATGTCATATGATAAGCTGCACATTCTTTATATCATGCTTTATGAGTTTCACCAGCACAAAAATGCTCCAGAAGACAATCTGAAGATTTTGTCGGTTATATGCAGGCGCTATCAGTGAATGCCGATGCCAAGAGGTATTTAAAATGTTCTGAAATGGAAAATTTAACTTTTAGATCCAATCTAAAATTTGGAGACAAAGTAACATGGAAAATGATGAGTCGAAAATGCTGACAGAATCAAATCAATGTATTAATAATGGAGAAACTTGACTGTGCACAGTAAACAGCAACACAACAAATCGCTTGAAATGTATAGGTTTCTCGTGAAGGTATTTAAATCGAAGTTCCACTGATTTCGTTAGAGAGCCAGAGATTCTGACTAGCACGTGCTTCCCTATGGGCTACACTCTCTAAGCTATTATATGCTCAGCCGTATTTTAGGCACTTGATAGTTTCACCAGCTTAATTGATATTTAGGGGCCAACAACTTAGAAATCTTAATAGCTTCGGCTATATGTTTTAGTTAAGATTCATTTCTTATTGCTTTGAGTTCAAGTGGAGGCTTTGTTGTACGTCCTGAGAAAGGGACCATTGTGAACTTCTTATTTTGAGAAATAAATGGTAATTAACCCTTCTTGAGTTTTACGTATCTGTTTCTGAACTAAAGCGAATATTCACTTACCTGTTCATGACGTTCCTACACACTTAGCTGTTAGATAAAAGGGTGGAACCCCACAAGATGTTTGCGACTGCAGCTGAAGAAAGGATTCTTTACACTAATGCTCCTCGAAAAAGATGAAAGTGCTAAAAAGAAATCATGTTTCATAGAAGACCTAAGATTGCATCCACAGTATATTTTCTGTGCATGGAAGCATAAAAATTTTGAGCTGAAGAAACTTGTATTAATCAACGGACTTGATTTGAATCATTAGCAGGTTAATGCTAAACCAAATAATGCAAGGGTGTTTTCACAAAAACTTATTACTAAGAAACTCTTATCTATTCGTCTAAAAGTTAATACAGTCAAAAGTCGTTAATTCGGACACCCATAATCCGGACCTCAAAGCTAAAAACTTTCTGCGCATGCGCCGCGTTGACACATGCGCATAGGCGTTTACGCGTGCGCGTAATACATTTACGACTGCGCATATGCGTGTGCGCAAGCCCAGAATACGTTTTCGCGTGAGCGTTTTATGTGTAATGGACGGTATAAGCTAAAATTATCTAATTATCTATTTCAGTTAATGTTGATGATTGCATTGTTCCTTAATCTTTGAATTAGATCTGGCTTATTATTTTTTGCAGACTGTACGAGCAATTTTATAAAAGTAAATTTGAACTTTCGATTATGTCAAATAGAATTTCCGATGCTGGAGTTCCCAAAGGATCTACAAAATGAAAGTATGTTTCGATGTCCATCAAACAAAAAGTGGAATAGCTGCAAAAAATGGATAAAGACATGAAGAAGGTGACAGAGAGGTTAGTGAAAACGAAAAAATTTCGATTGACAAGTTAGTCGGTATTCTCGGCACAGCAATTACGGGACTTGAACAGCGGAACTTTGTAACTGAACAAGAAATTATGTCTGTTTATAGAATTAAAGAGAAAGTATTATCACATAAGACGAAGCAACTTAAACAACTTACATTGAAAGAAATGTTTAATAAACAAATAAATATTAAGCTTTTTTGTTGTAAATTTTGATACCCTTTAGATCATAATTGTTCTTTATTTCATAAGTTACGGTTTCATATTTTTAATTTTAGAATTTCTGCATGCCATCTTACGAGATTTACTGATGATCTATAATCCGGAATCGCCGAAGTCCCGACGAGTCCGGATTAACGACTTTTGACTGTATATTGCTTCCTCGATTTTTATCAGTTTAAGCCATTGTAGTATTTCTTCTTGGCAAGGTCTTCCGTAGTAAAAAGTCATAAATAAGCATTTTGCCAAAATATCAAAAATATTCTTCAAAAAGAGATTGAAAAGTCGCCCAAAAGTCATCGATGTTAACATTAATTAAATTTATGCGACAATATTTTATACCATTTGAAACTATATCCTCAATGCTTTTTGCAATGCATTACTTTTTGATCAATCTGTCAAAACTAATAATCATACCACACTCAAACTCAGCTCTTAGCAGAAATAAATACTCGATGTTTCAAGTCTGCAACTGTTTATTTTTTTAATGTGTATCAATGTTCTTTAATCTTAATTTTCTCTTTTCCTATAAATTATACGTTTTACTTAATTTTCTTATATCAGGATGACACAAAAATACTTTGCATCCAATACACATATATTAACTTCAGATATTTAAAAATTTAATAATCTATATACATAAACCTATACACTTTAAAGATTACTCAAATAGTTATAAAGACTTCTTATCTTCACCAAGAACTTAAAACTTTTTCAATCAAGATGCCCAGAGATCTTTAGTCAATTTAACACCTCGTGAGACATGATGCCCCATTTCCAATTTCTCCTAGCACAAATTTCTGACAGCTCACATAAATAAAATGAAAAAGTGGCACCGAAAACTCGGTTTAACTTTACATAGATGGGGTTAGAAATAACAGTTCAACTCTGAGCTTAGAAGTATTTGAGCTTAGAAGTATTTTGAAGTATTTGAGCTTAGAAGTATTTTGAAGTATTTGAGCTTAGAAGTGAGCTGAAAGTATTTTGCAGTGGAACACGGTTTTTTAATTTCTTTTTTTTTTTTAATCCATGACTTCCTTGAATTTGACATCTTGTTCACACAAACTTAATTGTAATTCTTATCTCTTTCTGGATTTGCATACATATTTAGTCCTGAAAAACCCTGAAACCCTGTCACATCTAAATATGATGTCACAAAATTAGTCAAACCTATTAAAGCCTTGTTAGCTCTATCAAGATACTTCTCCTTCACTAGCATTTAAAACTAGAAGACAACACAATATTCAATTTGAAGGTAAAAACCTGAAAAAATACCAGTAAGTTTTCCTGCCATACACCAGATAATGCTGATATAGGCTCAGCATTTGATAAACAGTACAACTTAGCTACTTCATAAAATATTTGGTCCCATCAGTGACTGAGTAGTCATGATGACTAAATATTAAGGATTTTATCTGGGTTCAATCCCTAGCAGAAGGGGCTGCCTGCATAATTGGATTAGTCATGAGAGAAAAATGTGACAATGAGCCAGTTTCTTTAAAAAAGCCCTTAATAAAAGCATTCTCCCCTAGGCAGCTAGCCATGGTGTGCTTTGCCATACACCAATAAACACTTTGAAATATTCGTAAAAGCATATATGAAGAAAGTCCAAAACAATTTATTTACCTCTCTATTCAACCTGATGATATTTTCTTCTTCAAATCATTGAAGAAAAGCATTACTTTTAAAACTTTCTGGTCCATTTTTTTCCCTTCCACAATAATAGTTTTCTCTTGAAAACTGGAATGCATCCAATAGCCCCAGTCATTTTCAAAAAATGCAATAAGATGGAACTTTCCAAAAATATTAAAGATAACTTTAAAACAAATTATCTGCTCTTGTTCCAGTACCTCAAACCATGAATTTTTTATAAGCAAGATAAAATTCTAACTAATTTATCATAGCTTTTAAGTTCCCTTTTTAATTATTGTTTAGTTTGTTATTCTATCTTAAAAACATGTCTTTCAATTGCATTATTTAAAAATTAATCCCTAACCATAACTTCAATACTCTTCATCTAGTATATCTTGGCATCCTTTATATTCTTCTCTCTGCTGCTTAAATGCCATCTGCTGTTTCTCTTACATATTGCAAATTACAATGTAAATATCTAAGGCATAATACTTCTAGTTGTGAAATCAGCTGATGAACTCATGTTTATACTTCAGTATTATGATTCATTTAATGAAATATGCTTCAGTAAGTATGAACTGTGAAAAATTTCATCATGCAAAATTTTATAATTTTCTAAAAAAGTGATGCTAATTTTGACAGAATTTATATAATTCAAGCAGATACCTGATATCCACAAAACATATAAAAAAATGTTTATGTCATAAACTATAAATTAAAATAAGGCATTTATAAACTGGCTCTGGAATTATTCACGAGATTAAATGGAGAAATAAAAATGGGGGATATGAATAATAATAAAGAAAGAATATATAATAACAAAAAATTATACTCTTTAATTATACTCTTAATTATACCCTTTAATTATACTCTATGCCCTTTTTAAATATACTTTATTATACTTTTTAATTAATACTCTTATTATACTACTTTTAAATTATACTAACTTATATTTTATTATTTGCACAGAAAGTCAAGAAAGATTCAATTCAATAAAAGGGGGGAAAAATCTGGTGAATCCTTCAGCAGAAAGTGAGAGATGATACTTTGATACTGTTTTCAGATATAAATATTTTTTTAAATATCTAGACCTTTTTCAAAAATTAACAAAAGAAAATTTTACATAAATGCCCAATGGGAACAATAAATGATACAACCAAACATATTTCTCACAGAAATGCACATCTCCCCATATTCATATTTTGACAAAAGCACATTACAGTTTTCTCATAAAAATTTCAATAAACATGCTTTAATAAAAATAGAAAATATCTGAAAGTACTGAATAATAAAGAATATTTATTTTCACAGCTTTTTGTGAATGCTTATAGATGGAAAAATATGAAACTTAAGTGTTGGCTGGCAAGATATTGTAGAACGCAGAAGGAAAAAAAAGATGAATGTGAAAAAATTCAATTAAAATATGTTTTAATGCATATAATATTAATACATTTTTGTTATTAATTTCATACACTCTACATCAAAAAGGAATACAAATAAAGTTTTGGAAAGATTTTAATTAAGCTTTTCATATGCAACTAAAAACAAGTGCTACTTTCAGCCTTTTTTTTTCAATAATATTTTTAATAATTTCATCATTAAAGCATTTACTTAAGATTTGTGATTATAAAAATCTGAAGCAATAACCCCCAGCCAGTATGAAAAAACATTTAGATTTAAAATTTTTAAAAAATATAACAGCTCATTGGCAGCACATCACAGTTCCATCACAAGTTATCATATAAATATTAGTTTAATATATTTTAGCTCTGATCTAATTATACAGTCCATACAAAATAAGAATAATATAGGCTCCATATTACATATACTGGACTTCACATTAGACAGCTGGTTCAACTGAATTTAACATTAGACAACAGCTAATTAAAAATGTTTGATATTCCATACGATGATTAACATAATATTAAATGCAAAGATAAAATATTAAAGCCATTTTAAAAAAAGCAGGGGACTATCAATGTATAAATACATTATGACACAGACAAATATATAATAAACATTTTTAACATGTAAAGGAACATAGTCAGGTCTAAGCTCTAAATATTTAAACTATTAAAAAACATAGACAAATAAGAAACTGTATGTAGCAAAACTTAAGCATTATTAAATAAATTTTCATACAGCTTTATAAATGAAAAATTTAAATTCTTCACAATACATCTAGAATAAAAGAATTCTAGACCAAGTGCTTTTAAATACAAAAAAATTAAAACTGTATACATAATTCCAATATTCACTTAACACTTTCTTCAAGAAAGATGTTTAACAAATACTGAAAAACAATTATACAGTATTAATATACAAAGATTACTGTAACTGTAGCATCTAAAAATATATATGTCATACAAAAATTAAAAATATGTTAAAAAGTTAAATTACAGAATTTTTTAAAATGAGCCATATACAAACAGAGCCAAATATTAAAATGACTAGGAACTGAAATATATTTCTGCATAGATACTGCAAAATTATTGAGGTTGTAATATAGAAATTCAAAATGTATGCAGGTATTTCCGCTGAACAGATTTCTCACTTTTCTAATAGGTTTTAAAGTATTTCTGACATTCACAATTTAATACACAGACAAAAATAAATAAATTTAAAAACAAGGTAAAATGTATCTACCAAAATAAAATTTTAAATTTATGAAATATTGACATTTATTTGCTTTTTACAACAAAAATTGTGCTACCTATTAAAATCTGGATTAAAAATATATCTCTCTTAATTATTTACATATTTTTAACACGTTCTTCTAACTTCCTTAGCTCTTCTCTTATTTCATTGGGTAAATCATTATGAACTTGTTCACTTAAATATTTGTCAATATCTACACATTCTTGCAGCCAGAAATCTTTGGGTAAACTAAAGAGAGCTTCCGTGTTAACAGAAGAGAGATCAGAAAGGTTTAATGACCCTTCTTTTGGAATGTAACCAATGGCAGTTTCCTAAAATTATAAAAATATATTAGAAAAATCAATTTAAAAAATTTGCAATACATAAATAAAAATGTTCCACAAATCTGGGTACTTTTCAAAATATCAAATAAAATCAATAAACTGGTGTATCACAGTGTGGTTTTCACTGGAAGACTTAATATCGAGGAGGAATTTTGGGGGAAAGGAAGAGTAACATAAAATTAAATTTCAGTTCAAATTTTCACTACAGATGTTACTGTTAGTATCTCACTATAGATAGAATGAGCAAAGTGTGTTATACAGTATTTACTGATGCCATTTATTGAAGACTATTTGAATTTAGATGTACTTTATATTCTTCCACCCCTTAAAAAATTAATTTTTATGATAAATAAGTCTTCAGATAAACACATTCTGACATATTAATTTGTTGCTTTAATTTTTAAAATAGGCCCAAATCTATGGGCCTATTTTAAAATACTGTCAGATTAAATAAAAAATTACTATAAAATTATATTCTTACTATTTTACTACAAAAAATTTCATCCTGCCCCAACACATTAAACTACACTATCAATAAATAGCATGATATTAAAAGAACACCTTTTACTTAGTTCAGATTTCAGTGCTCCTGCCAGCAAAAGATATAAAGACTAAGATTAAGATATAAAGGCTGCTTTCTGTATATGTTTTATATTTATTCTGAGCTATATTTTTACAGTTACAGGAAAATTAAAAATATTAAAGGGAAAAATTACATTACTATAGTATATTAATCAGTATTATAAATTAAAATTTCTATGTTGGAATCAAGTGTCTTCTCAATGAAACGCAAATTATAGCTTCATGGAATGAGAATTTTTGCATTCTTTACTGTAAGTAAAATGCTATGTTTCTAAAGAAATGCAACACTTTCTTTTTCATCAGCTGGCAAACTCCACAGTCCCATTAACATTTCATACATGAGAAAAAATATTCAAAGAAAGAAAGAAAAAAAAAAAAAAAAAAAAGAAGCGTACAACAAAAAGCAACACTAATGACTGTCAAATTTGACAGGGGAAGCATGGTCTTTGGTGTAAAGCAGTGGCTGTCTGCTATGTGTACATACATACCTGGATTGCCATATTAAACATCATACTCAAATTAATTAACAAAATAAAAATATAACAAGAAAAAATTAATTTTCATTTAAAAGCACAATTCAAAAATTAATTTACCATGCTGTCAGAAGGCAATATAACTGCCTTAGGCATGTTAAATATGTTCAATATGCCAACCTTAGTAGCTTAGCAGATACATAAATTATAATGTTAATTTTCTGCGACATACAATATCATATGCATAGCATCCTGGATACCTTTTTTGCATTAAAAATATACAGTACAAATCAAAGAACTAAACATTTTCTCAAAGCATCATTTGAAAATTTTTCTCTTTTTTGAGAGAAGTTTGAGTGTATATACAGACATTTCATGTAGGATTGACTAAGATTTGCAATACTATACTAAATGTGCACTGTTTAATAAATTACAGTAAAGCATACATCAGCATTCTTCCTAAATAGAGGGATGCCTCTGTAGAGGACTTTTTGATAGAAACGGACTTGTATTTATAATATGCACAGGAAAAACCATGAAAAATGCCTTATGCAGCCCAGACAGGATTCAAACTTCCAATCAACGACCAATGTTCAACAGTTTGACCTATTTGAACACATGGATTTCAATACTATACTAAAACAAGATAGGGAAAAAAAAAAACTTTGAATTAAAAATTATTCTTTTAAAGCAATTTATTGCTCAGGTGGACATAACCAGCATATCAAGTTTTTTTTTTTTTTTTAAACAATGTAATTATGTCCAATAATGACTGAAAAAAAAAAAAGAAGTGTAACTTCCTTTAGGTCAAATTTGGTAACCACAGATTGTTTACTATTACCTGAAGTAAAATCTTCTTGAAGAACATCGTTTTAAGATGTTTAAAAAATTCAAAAACTGATAAAGTGATAATTAAGTGCACTCCAGAAAGTATTTATTATGGAGAAATATACACATTTTATGGGCATGCCAAGAGATGTATATGATGAAAAGGAATATATGTAGAAATTAAACAGTGATAAGTTTTTTTTAATTCTAAATTATTTAAAAAATCTAAGGCTAAAAATTTGTAGAACACTATATAATCAGTAGTTATATTATATACTGAAATATGACAACCTAGGTGCTCCAAGTTGACTACTGGTGATACTGCAGATACCTACTGGTAATAATAAATACCTACTGGTGATACTGCAGATCACTATGAATTTAAATTTCTCTGACTTAACAAACTACACTATTACAAAAATAATTAAAAGCTTTATTATACAAATATAAGCAAGCAAATGTTAGAGGATTTACAAACTATATTATTGAAATATATTTCTAAAAAATCAAAACAGAAAATAAACTGTTAGAAAAAATAAGATTATTCACAATGAGCTAATTTCTGCATATTTCTATAGATCAGCAAAATTTCATTTCTCTTTTTTGATCTGTCTGTTATAGAAAATTGATAAGTGGATGGAATCAAATTTAAATAGAAGTTATGCACTAGAACGGAAAATTCTCTTGTTTTACACACCATCTAGATGCTCAGTTGATCCAGCTATTCTGTAATTGGCTCCCATAAATTAATTATTTACATGCTGGACTGAAAGGAATTAAGAGTATAAAATTCCATTAGAATTAGATAACTCCTCCTTGGTGGATGAATGTGTGTTTGGGGAGGGGTTAGTATCTTGCTTAATGAAATGAAGACTAACTTCAAAATCTATATTTTTGTATTTTAATGTATAAGAAACAACACATTAAGGGAATTTTTTTTGCATAACAAGAGCAAATATTATGCATTTATTTAATTCTCCAGCAATGCATACCTGAGCAATATCTTCACCATCTACTCTACGGCAGATCCAATCTAAAACTCGACTATTTTCACCAAAGCCAGGCCATAAAAATTTGTTGTTTTCATCCTTCCTGAACCAATTGACATGGAATATTTGGGGAAGTTTGAGATTATTCTTTTTTTCAAAACTAAGCCAATGTTTTAGATAATGACCAAAATTATAGCCAAAAAAGGGACGCATGGCAAATGGATCATGCATAATCACTTTCCCTACAAAAGAGATAAATTAATCTTGAAATTTTATAAATAAACACTTTTCAAATACAATTACATTAATACAAATACATTTTTATTACATTATCATTTTTAATAAAATATAATATGCAAGAATAACAAACAAAAAGAAAGTACTTTTCTTTAAAATTAAACAAAAACTTAGTTTGGAATATTGAAAAGTATATGTTATTTATAAAATACTTTCATGTTATGACACATATTAAGTATTAATAGATTAAAGAAATCTATTTGATACTTCCATATTCCACTATATGTAAACATAAAACATTACCATTCTTGAGTCTTATAGATTACAAATTATGAAGCAGGAAATTTTACATTAAAAATTAATTCAAGTATTTAAATTTCCTTCTAATGAAGCAATTTTTTCTTGCTTAAAATATTTTGAAAAACATCATATATGAAGCATAATAATTTAACAGACATAATAATTTAACATCACTTAAAACTAAGTTTAATATATAAATTTCTTGAACTGTTATTAAACACTCAACATTTCCAATTTCTGTTTTACTTCGCATCCTCTTTTGTCTCATTTAGCATATTTTGAGTACACTAATATAGCTATAATATATAACAAATTTTTTAAAAAATTTTCTTAATGTTAATTTTGAAGACTATGGTTTTTAAGCTATGTATTATTTTAGAATCTTGAAATAAAATTAATGTCCATAAATAATAATTCAGAATGGTCAATTTTTTAATTAATCTACTTTGTTTACATCGAGGAACAAAATAATTATGATAGATAATAACAAAATTAAGAACTGATGCGCAGCAAATATGAAATTGAACAAAAGTATACATCGAGAGGGTGAAAAAGGCCCAAAACATTAAAATGCTGCAAAGGTAACTTAAAAAACAAATGATTCTGTACCAAATACAAAACATATAGCATTTGAATGCAAAACATATAGCAAACAAATACAAACATATAGCATTTGAAATATCTCTTATTAATTACAATAATGTATTTTGATTAATGTTAATTACATATATTATTAAAAATAAAGATTTAAATTATTAAGAAATGTGTTTATTGTTTTAAATTGCTCACTTCATTAGACCATGATGAACTGGTTAAATTTGAAAAATAAATTAAGGATTTTACATTTTGCTGAATGGCAATAATTTCAGAATGGGTTAAGTTTGGGCACATGTAGAATAAATGCTTTATCTTTCATGCAATGACAACACCTGCTGAAGTAAATGAATGATATGTCCGTGATAGTGTAAAATAATTATGTTTCTTGCTTTTTAAATTTTATTAACTGATCACTCTTGTACAGAATTCTTAGCATGCCATCATTCTGAAAAATGGATGTTGCATTAGTCTGGCAGAAAAATAGTCACCAATGAGTTCACAACTTGTTGGTGTAAGAGTGTAGATAATCAGAAAGTGCCAATGTTTCTAATTCAAATTTTAAAAATTTACTTTGAAAGTTAATTTAGCATTTAAATTATTTTAAGTAATGATCTCTAACTCTATTTAAAAAAAACTGCAAATACAATCAATACAGAAAATCTCTTTTTATAGTATTTTACTACTACATGTAAAAGACAGCAAAAATGACATTTTACAATTAAAATAATGCTTGATTACAGATAATTACTTTATGCTGTTAATGATACAATTTCGAGAAGAATTTAATAATTCTTTTTACTATAAAATCTACTATATTTTCTCTTAATATATAAACTTAATTTTTAACACTTCAGACTCATCAACAGACCACAATAGAAACTTAAGTTTACAAATACAAAAATGATAATTTTTGACTAAGATAACAAAAAGGCAGTTTCTACAGAATATTTTACAAGGAACAAATTCTTTAACAACTGGGCACAAAAGCAGACAGTTATACTTTAAAACATCCCATTCAAATTATTCAATTTTGCAATAATAATATAATTTCTATACATAAAATTTTACATTTAACTGATATAAAATTATAATTAATCTTAAAAAATAATTATACAAATTACTAAACTAGAAGAATTGCAATTAATATTTTCTATTAAAAATGAATATAAGATTTGCATGTATTTTCTAGATACAAACAATATTCATTCACAAATGCATATCCCCGCAATTAAAAAATATATACTGTTTAGAAATGAGTTTTCAGGAAAATCTTTATAATGCAACAATTATTTAAGCTTTAGAATTTATCTTTTTATTTTAAAGCAATGAAATGATTTATGCTTTATGTTGTATTTATCCAATCTTATTTTCATTTCATACATAAATATAAAACAATTATTAAATTTGCAAATGAAATATATTCTGCAGAAATTTTCCCATAGAATATTTTTACACATCTCTAATTGTCTCAAAATTACACTGTTTTTGTTAGTCATTACTGATTGTTTTATTTACTTTTGAACATACATATTTTATGCAACCTAATAATCAAAATATTAATTTATTTTAATTCCTAATATAGATTACTTTCTCAGAAACTGATATGTTTTCTATTTGTTCGCAAACATTACGTTTATTACAAATGCACAATATAATTAGCAATTAATAAATGACAAAAACAAAAACATACCAAATAAAAAGAAACTGTACTATCTTACTCAAAGCTGGAGATATTAAAAGATCAAAATGCAATAGAAATATGTATACCAAAAATAACATATAGTTAAATATGGTTAATCTTTGGATTATCGTAACTTGGCAATTTTTTGGCTAAAATTTGGCTACCAACCCTGCTACAGCAAACTGCTAGCTTTTGTTTGGATGCCATTTTGTTTTCAGGAAGTAAAGGCATTTTTTTCTTTTTTAACTCAACATTTTTTTCCAACAATCTGCTAGCCGAATTGCGTTTATGCTAGAACTTTTAAGGAACAAAAATCAGGAGTGTAGCTAGAGTTTCCAGCACCCGGGGACAACTGAAGAATTTGCGCCCCTTTTTGTGTGCCAAGGATGGAAAACATTTCATTAAAAAATTCCGTAGCATCAATTTGGCCCCCCTTGGATGCTGCGCCAGGGGACAGATGTCCCCCCTTGCCCCACCCTAGCTATGCCACTGACAAAAATGCTTAATCATGACAAAGATTAGGTGCGAAATTGGAAGAAAGTGCAGAATCGCAAACTGCTTGCCGCATTTTTAAGAATTGCACATACACGGTATCCATGTCATCGACCTATTTTCACTTAAAAAAACATCCCAGAATTGCACAAAAATGACATTGCGCACACTCTTGACTTTATCCATGTACACTGCTAAAGTCCTAGCTAGTAACCTTTATCACCTATCCAAAATGTCGCCAAACTACCTGTTACCATATTCCAAAGATTAGCCTTAAATATGTATGGCAATAGAAAACATTCAGAAATTAATATTAATTGGCGACTAATTAATCACCTTTATGTTCAGCTGCAGCTGTAGCCTCAGATCTCATAGCTGCGCCAATAAAAACACCATGCCTCCAGTTAAATGCTTCATAAACCAAAGGAACACCTATTTAAAAAAACATCACAGAAACTAACATTACAAAAATGCATTCGTTTCAAAATATCCAGTTTTAATATAAAACAGTTTATGTAAAACGCCAGTTTATTATTTCTTACTTAAAATTAACTTCCAACACCTACATAGTTTATTATCAGCATAGCACAGAATTATAATAATTTTTAATGAATGAACTTCAAAAGTTCTAATTCCTCAAATTTTTAATCAGCTCAGCTGTTTATTTTTGATCACCTTAGGTTAAAATAACCATTTTTAAATGCTTAAGTTCTCAGGAAAAAAATTCATATTATAATTAAATTATTTTGACAAACTGCATTTCAAAAATTTAATTAGAACTGAGTTTTTTATTTGGATTTACATGTTGCAATACACACAAAACAATTGTTATTAAACATTCTCTTTACATATAGTTATTTAAATAATGAGTAAAATCCTTTTCATGTATGAAATAAATATTTGAGATATGTTTTTACAAGAACGTATTAATTTTATTACCTTGATTGTTTCAATAAAAGTACTATAAAGAAGACAGTAAATTAATGATTATGCAGTTTATAAAATGCAAATTTTCACTTATAACAAAGTTAACTTACATTACAAAATATATATATATAACAGAAAAGATATTTTGTTAATATTATAGAAATAATTATATATAGATGAATATATGTCTGCTGTTAAAATAAAAAGCAGGCATACATTTTTTACCTTACATACCTTTTGGTCTTCGGCCACCAAATATAATAGCACTGACTGGAACACCATTAGGATCTTCCCATGCTGGATCCATAATTGGGCATTGTTTAGCAGGACAACAAAACCTAAACATATAATGTTAATTATTAAAAAATTAACTTTCAATAAATATTAGAACATAAAAAGTACCTTTCTTTCAATTTCAAATATATAAATCTCAGACCTATTGCTGTAAGCTTAGAAAAGCACCACTCATTTAATATTCTGTACATTATTTCACTGGTAAATAAGGTATTTACAACATTCCCATCAGAATTTGTAAATAAAGAGAATATACTGTACAGAAAGATGAAAAAGGTTTTTTCAGAATGAAATAGGCTTAATTTTATTAAATTTTAATACACAAATCTTACTGTTTTTTCTCAATTTTACTACACCATTACTCCAGTTATGTGCAATCAAACTATAATTTGTGAAAACAATTTGCTTCTTAATGTTTACAGTACAAAGTCTGTAATCCAGACGTCCATTATCCGGAATGATCTATAATCCGGACCTCAAAGCCACAAACTTTTTTTGTATACTTTACGCATGCGCGTAATGCATTTACGCAAAAAGAGCTTAATATTTATTTGTTTGCTTTATTAAACATTTCTTTCAGTGTAAGTTGTTTAAGTTGCTTTGTTTTTTGTACTAAACGCGCATGCGTAAATATTAAACACGCATGCATTTAATGTTATGCGTGCGTGTTTAATATTTATGCATGTGCGTTTAGCACAAAAAAATGAAGCAACTTGATCAACTTACACTGAAAGAAATGTTTAATAAAGTAAACAAATAAATATTAAGCTTTTTTTTTTTTTGTAAATTTTGATACCCTTTAGATCATAATTGCTCTTTATTTCATAAATTACAGTTTCATATTTTTAATTGTATAATTTCTGCATGCCATCTTAGCAGACTTAAATTGATGATCTATAATCCGGAAAAACCCTTAATCTGGAATCGCCGAAGTCCCGATGAGTCCGGATTACGGGCTTTGTACTGTATAACTATCTCTAAGCAATGAGTATCTACTTATTCTATTCAAGTAAAAATTAAATATTTTAAAATGCATAACTACAAATTACATAGTGTGTGCTTTTTAGTTAAATAAAGTATAAAATCAAATTTACCCATTTCTGAGGTATGATAAAGAGAGAGTCAGTAAAGTATGATTTACACATACTGTATACAGAGCAAAATAATATTCTTAGATAATAATTATTCAAAACTTGTTTGTTCAAAAGTCAAAAAAATTATACACAGTTTAATAATAAACATTCAAACATTCATAGCTGTCTTTATATATTCAGATACACATATTCATTTATTAAAATTATAGTAGGATTAAGATCATTTGCACATCTTGGCATCATGGATTGTGTGGACTGATGAATTTTGCAAATTATAGGTCATGTCTTTCTAAGTTTTGCTTACATTTTTTTTCCTTTCTAGCTTTTACATAAAAGATGGATTGTTTATGAACAACTAATTAAAATACACACCTTAAGAATTATTTAATTAAGATTCATTAAATACAAAACTATTATTTTTCTTTAATGTATAATTACATAAAAAGAAAGTAAAGTAAGTACAAGGGGAAAACTTAGTGTAGAGATAAAATAGGGATATTTTTTAAGGAAACAGAGAATCCTTTCGTAAAAATGCATTAAAGATTTTTACATAGAAAAACTGTATATACACACCAATGAAATTACTTTCGAAGCAATTTTATGCTCCCAGCAGGAGAAAAAGAATATTTTAATAAATAAACACATTGTTTATAAAAATATTGAATCCATCCACTATATCTGCCACTGCATTCTGTGCATGCACAACTGGATTGATTAAAAAAAATGTTAAATTAAAAATAAAAATTTTGAATTACCAACATGCACTTTTAATACAAAGAACAAGGTTGAAATTTACAAGTGCACATTATACGCCAGATATAAACATGTTAGATTTACAATTAGGGAAAAGATGAAATACAAAATAAGATTTCTACATGCACCTAATTGCTGTTTATTTAAAAGGAATGGTATCCCTTATGAATTTAAAAATTTTCATAATCAGATAAAATAACAAGTTCGTCGCATTTGTCTTTAAGCATATCATACAATTCTGTTTCATCTTCACCATCATTGTTACTCTGATCCATAAATAATCATCTTCCATTCCATCTAAGACTATCAAATATATTACCTTTTTTAAATGGCTTTTGAATTATGTTGGGATTGATTTCATTTCATGCATTTTTTTTCCCACTCACACACTATTTTTCCACTGGCATTACGCATTTGGTATCCTTTAAAAAATAATTTTTTTGTCTTTTAATATCCATGTATTTCACTCTGGTTTTAAATTTTTTTGAATGGTTTATAGATACACACATCTAAAAGCTGATTTGATGGTGTTAAACAGCCTGAAATAACTGCCATGTCTGTATTACACTCTTTTAACAATTTCTTCATATTACCCGTTAGATGGGATCTGAACATGTCACAAATTAAAAAGACTTTCTAGATTCTTTATGGCAACAAGATGCTTTTGCCAAACATTTCTTATCCACAGTTTTCACACTATTTCCATGCATCCATCCTTTCTCGTGAACATGAATGAAAACACTATTTGGGAAATTACATTTCTGCATCATTTTTCTTTTAAAAATAACCATGGGTATTAATTGTGTACCATCGACTACGCAAGAAAACACTAATGTGAGGTGAGATCTTTTGTGATCTATTGTTTTTACCTGAATCATTTTAAACATTGCTGCAGTTTCGTCTATATTTTTAATATTGACAGTAGGTATTTTTTCCTCTTTGTGGATCAATAACATACTTCTGGAAACTTCATCAGTCCTTTATGCAAAGCACATTTAATCTTTGGCATATTGATTAATTTGTTGTTTCACTTTTCTTCCACTCATGTATGGAGTTTTCACCAACACCAAATATCCTTGCTGCAGCACTATTTCTATTTTCTTTCAAATTTGAAACCAGCACTGTGTTTATTTGATTTGCAGGAGCCATATTTACTTTTAAAGGAATACTAAATCAACAGTATTTCAACTAAAGCAAATGCAATTTAATGAAACCTTTGATGTTCACTTCAAAATCATGGCTTGCAATGACTACAGAAAGGATCCTTAGGAATTTTGAATTCTGTTCAACTTGCTGATCTTGAATTTTACAGACCTCGAAAGATTGATTTACTAATAGGTGCTGAAATCTTTTTTGATTTATTAAAATACAAAAAAAAAAAAAAAAAAAAGCGCTGAAAAACTCTGGTCTTATACTTCAAAATTCAGTATTTGGCTATATTATCAGCGGAAAAATTTATAGCATTACGAAATAAGAAGATTCAGCATAATGTGAGTTAATCTAAGAATTGGACGATTTGAATCAAAGCATAAAGAATGTTTAGGAAATTGAAAGGATAGACAAAGATAAACCTATGAAGAGTCCGGAAGAATTATTATGTGAAAATCATTTCTTAAGCACACATTCTAGAGATAAAAATGGAAGGTATGTGGTCTAGATGCCTATAAAGAGAGAAGGGAATTTACGTCTAGGAAATTCTAAAGATACCGCATTAAAGAGATTAAATTCGTTATGGAGCAAACTGCTGAAGGAACCAAAATTACTATCCTTGTATCAAGAATTTCTCAAAGAATACGAAGCTTTAGCCCATATGGAAGAAGTATGCGAAGATGTAAATTTAGAACCATCATGTTATATTCCGCATCATGTAATATATCGTCCAGACAAAAGTTTGACAAAACTAAGAGTCGTATTTGATGCTTCTGCAAAGACATAAACTGGTACATCTTTAAATGAACAGTAACTGAGTGGAGGCATAGTACAGGAAGATTAGTTTTCTATCATGATACAGTTCAGGAAACACACTTTTGCATTCATTGCTGATATAGAGAAAATGTATCGTCAAATTTTAATAGATCCAGACCAGAGGAAATTTCAACAAATTCTTTGGAAGAAAAATTCCCAAGAAGAAATCAAGATGTATCAGCTGAATACTGTTACATATGGCACTACTAGTGCCCCTTTCCTTGCTACTAGAGCCCTACGACAATAAGCTGAAGATGAAGGAAAGGAATTCCCATTAGTGTTTTCAATCGCACTTCAAAATTTTTATATGGATGATGTTTTATCAGGAGCAGAAGATTTCGAAAAAGCTAAAGAACTGCAAAATCAGTTAGTGAATCTCTTCAGTTGAGGAGGCATGAAGCTTCATAAATGGTTCGCTAATCACAAGGAATTGCTGATTAATGTTAATACTAAGGCTGAAGATTATTCATTTTCCAATGAAATGAAATGAAGGTGTTAGGTATTTTATGGAATCCAGATTCAGATGCTACTGCATGATTACTATACTAAGAGACATATTTTATCAGCTATTCCTCAAATATTTGATCCACTTGGTTTAATTGGACCACTTATTATGAAAGCCAAAATTTTTATGTGGAAGCTTTGACTTCTAAACATTGGCTGGAATGATGTGCTTCCCAAAATGGAATCTCGTGAGTGGAAGAATTTCATCACATCAATGCCTAAAATTAATGCCGTAATTATATTAATCGGAAATTTTGTCTAGCGATGCTGTTAAAATTTAATTACGTGGATTTTCTGATGCTTCAGAATTAGCTTATGGAGCATGCATTTATGTCAAATGTATACTGCAATCGGGTTCCAGTTCAGTAGTTCTTTTGTGCAGTAAATCAAGAGTCGTGCCGTTAAAATCAGTTTCTATCCCAAGACTTGAACTCTGTGGTGCAGTGTTACTATCGCAGTAAATGAATAAGGTGCGAAAGGCACTTAAATTGAATTTAGATAAGATATATATGTGGTGTGACTCATCTGTAGTTCTTGCATGGATTCGGAATTCTCCACATGTATTAAAAAACATTTGTAGCTAACCGAGTTGCCAAGATTCAGCAACTTACACACGAGTTTCAATGGCAATATGTGAAGTCAGAAGAAAACCCTGCTGACTTGATTTCAAGAGGTGTTAGCCCAGATCAAATTGAACATCTTAAACTTTGGTGGAATGGACCTTCATTCTTAAGAACAGAAGTAGTTGATTTGTCCCTAACTGTGTCTCAGTCAGATTTAGATGAGAATTACCACAAGGAACTAAAGCAGATATCCAATCAAACTACTTCAGTGAATAATGACTCTCAAATTGACTTTAATTTAACTCATTTGCAAAACTTTCTAGTCGAACCATTAACTAATGATCTATTTTATAATGTTCTAAATATTACAAATAACTATACTAAATTATTGGATATTCTAAGTTATATTTTCAGGTTTATTTATAACTATCGGAACCAAGAAAAAAGAAGGGGAATTTTATCAGTAGAGGAGTCAATGGGGCAGAGTTATATCTGATTCAGGTAACTCAAAGTGAAATAGTTTGCAGATATTAAAAAACCTGAAAAGGACATCTCAGGTTACAGGTAAAAGCTGTTTGAAATCACTGAATCCATTTTTTGATGAAAATCAGTTGCTAAGAGTAGGGGGACGTTTGCAAAATGCTAATTTAAATTTCACACAGAAGCATCCCATTATTCTACCAGCTAATCATCAGTTCACTAAATTAGTAGTGGAACATTACCATAAGAAATATCTGCATATAGGTCCACAAGCATTGTTGAATTGTGTCAGACAAAAGTTTTGGCCTCTTGGAGGTCGGAAACTGACATGACAAATTGTGCACAATTGTGTAGTTTGTAGAAGGGCTAAACCAATTCTAGTTCAGAAAATAATGGGACATCTTCCTCAGGAGCGGGTGAGTATAAGTGCACCCTTTAATTGCACCGGGATCGATTTTTGCGGCACATTTTATATAAAGTATAAACATCAACGAAAGGGACAATTTCAAAAGATATATGTTGCTATTTTTGTTTGTTTTGTCACTAAGGCAATACATTTTGAATTAGTATCAGATTTGTCATCTGATGCCTTCGTTGCTGCATTAAAAAGATTCTTCTCTCGTAAAGGTAGAAGCTCAATCATATTTTCTGACAATGCAACAAACTTTGTTGGTGCTAGTAGAGAATTGACTACATTGTATAATCTTGTTAAGAACCCAGATGAATCTTTAGGAAATTACTTGACTTCTGAAGAAGTAAAATGGAACTTTTTGCCTCCTAGAGCTCCTAATTTTGGAGGACTTTGGGAGGCAGGAGTCAGATCATTTAAATATCACCTTAAAACATGTCGTAGGGGAAACAAAACTTACCTATGAATAATTTCAGACAGTGACTCTTCAAATAGAAGGTATATTAAATTCTAGGCTCGTCACTCCATTACCGGCAGATGACGATTGTATTGAAGCTCTAACTCCAGGTCATTTTTTAATTTTTAGAACTGTTACAGCGATTCCAGAACCAGAACTTCTAGAGAAGCCTGAGAACAAATTATGCTGCTAGCAAAAAATTACCAAAATTGTCCAGGGTTTTTGGAAAAAGTGGAGTAATGACTACTTAAATCACCTCCACCAAAGAAACAAGTGGCAGTTTCAAAAACATAATGTTAAAATTAATTCTGTAGTTTTGATAAAGGAGGATCATTTGCCTATTAATAAATGGTCTCTTGGTCGTATTATAGAGGTTTTCCCTGGTACTGATGGCAATATAAGAGTAGTCACTGTTCGAACTTCAAATGGTCTGTTGAAATGACCAGTAACAAAATTATCTATTTTGATGTAAACAGCTGAACTCTTGTGAACTTAGAAATAGTGTAATACCTTACACTATTTCTAAGGGAGGGGCAGAATGTTGCTGCCTTTAACTGTAATTGCGCCAAACTTGGCAATCTTACAATTCAAACTGAATGCTGCCAACTAGGCGGGAAAATTGTTCCTTCGTGGGCATACACCAAGTCCCATCGGTGTCAATTATCAAGAACTTCGGTTCTAAGTAATGTTTCATGTATATTATTGTTGAGTTTTAATAAAACTACTAAAAGACATTATCGCCTCATACAGTCCACATTTCGACGTAAACAAACCATATTATCAAATTATAAAAATGTTGAACTTAAAAAATTGCTCTTTCTCCCTTTTTCCCTTTTATATCACCCAGAAAAGTCCACTTTATGTACATCTATAGGAAAAAGCAATATTTCATTTCTCTCTCTTTCATCCCATCCTCTAATTTTTGTAACCATGAAAAGAGCTTTTTAATGCATATTTTGAGGCAAAGCAATAACATCTTTTTTTTCTTTCTTTTAAACTGGGCAGAAAGAGCCTTAAATAAAAAAGAAAAGAAAAGAAAAAAATAAGACTATTAGGGGAAAATATTGGAAATACGATTATTCTTATTCCATAGGGAAATTTTCTTCAACTGTACTAAAGATTTCATCGAATGAATCACTACTATTATGCTTTATCTTCATGGAAAATTCAAAGTACAACCTTCAGATTGGTTACTTCAATATGTAACAATTCTTCCGCAATACAACACTCCTGGCATGTAATTCTATACCTAACAATCTCTACTGCTGCTACAGCATTTACTTTGTCATGAATGCTTAAGATCATTTGATTCACTTAAATGAAATTTCTCATAACACAAAAAAACACAGTCATAGTAAACACAGAGCTTTGAAAGTTAACATTTTCCCTGAAACACATGTCATCCAAATAACAGTCGAGAAACTTAAGGCATATAGATTAAGTAGCAAGTTTAACTTGGTGACAACAATTATGTTTCATTTGTGTGTGTGTACTAGGAAATTAAACAGCACCACAATATTCCCCTTTTGAAGACAAATTAAAAATAATTACACAAGGCAAATATCAATTATCTCACTAAGGTACTTGCACTCATGCAGATCAGCTGAAGATCATTTTAATAACAACATTGCTCACTTCAAAGTTGTTGTTTGCAATTAGGTTTTAGCTTTTACTATCTGTGATAACCTCTGTTGTTTTATCCGATATCATTCATTTTAGTTTCAATTCCAAGCTGAAACAACTAAAATATATTAACACTTAGAGAAAACATTTGTTTAGTGCTTGAAAATTTCTTGTTTGGTAAACTTGGTAAACTCTGAAGCATTCTGCCAGCAGTAAAACCTTTGATTTGAGAGATTAGGGTCCTGACAACAGAATATTCTTTCTTAATAGTATGACAAGGAAATTTTATAAAAATGAGTATTGTAACTTAGATATGGTAGCAAAATTTTACATGTAACAGCAATATGATTTTACTTTCACAAAAATTTTAAAATAAAAGTATTTAGGATTTTTAAAAAGTATTTAAGAAAGTTGAGTTTACTATTTTCCTGAAAAAAAAATGAGAGAGAATGATTGGACTATGCCTTGAGAATTCAGAAGGGATTTTCATGGGTAGATTTGTTGATTAGACAAGCAGAATTCTGTGTTAGATAGATACAGAAGCTTTAGTACAAGACAAAGAATATTCAGGATAACAAAATATTTAAAAACTTCTCACCTTGAATTTGGGTGAGCAGCTGGCTTTCCAACATCTGGAGTCCAATTTTCCATTCCTAGCCAAGAAGTTATTTTAACACCAGCAGGGATTTCATCTTCTAAACCTTCCCAGAAAAAGCCACCATCACTAGTTTCTGCTACATTAGTGAACATCGTGTTTTTCTGAATTGTGAGCATTGCATTCGGGTTTGTTTTCATTGATGTTCCTAACAAAAAAATATTTGTTTAATAAGAACTTCGATACACAGTCTCACATATACAAAAACCTTTTTATACCTAAATGTAGCACATATACATATTTCTGAAAAATACAAACATTAAACATATTTTTAATATGATTATAGAAAAAAATGTAAACTATAGCAAAGTATTTGAAAGAGATGATAATAGGATTAACTTTCTTAATGGGCTAGATGAGTGTTACAGGGAAGTATAAACAAAGAGTTATTAAGATTGCATTTTTGCACTTCCGCAGCTGAAGAAGCAGGTTCTATATATAAATGTTTAAAACTAGTCCTGCAAATTTATGAATATTACTGTTTCTTGTAGCTTTAACACTTCAATAATAAGCTTATTACATATTGTAATATTACGCTTTAATTCCTTCAATAATAAGCTTATTATATATTGCAATGTTAATGTTAATGTTACTGTGTATTCTTATTAGAATGTAAATTTCTTTCAAAGAAGAAATATCGTTATGAATTTTGTACATATGTAAATAACTTTAGTGAAACTACATGTGAAATTGTTGCATTTTTTCCCTGTGTAACGTAACATGAAAATCTAAAGAGGAGATAGATGCTTTGCTAGAAAAGTATGAATACAGGCACAAGTCTATTTAACATTTATTTAATCTGAGTAAATGCCTATCTCTCTAAATTGGCAATATATCACCAAGCTGGCAAAAGTTTTGACGGCTAATTTTTTTTTACCAAACTTGGCGACATTTTGGTTTGGTCCCTGTAATGGGTACTGCAAATGAATAAATGTAATTGATCATTATATGCAACTGTAACCCTATCCAGACCTTAGAGGTAACTTAAACCATATATGCCTTCCAATAATTTTAAGAAGTGCTACAGATTTCTCGGCCAGGCAGGTGAAAACTATATAAGACCAGAGATAGCATCTGCTCTGAGCTGCTAGTTCAGAACTGAATTTGGAGTATTTGAAGCTTCATTCATTAGAAGCGCTCTGTACAGCTTTGTGTTTAATGATCTCAATAGTTTGAAGTGTAATTACTCTGTATTCTCTTGCATTGTGAAGAGCTGTATAAATATTTTACAGAAAGTTCCAAAACTGTGAAGTGCTTCTTTTGGTAAAATAAATTTTATCAAGCTATCATTGGTTCTGTGTGCACTTAACCTATTAGGACCTGTAGGCATGCAACAATAGTTTGATAATTGCCTGTAGTTTAGCTATGACTACTTTTCATTTGCTATATTCTTACTCTAAATGCATTATCTGGAAATTAAATTATTCATACACTCTAAATGCATTATCTGGAAATTAAATTATTCATACTATTTCCTCCTCTCCATTTTTCGGACGATTAAATTAGTAAAAAAGGAGGGAAATCCACAAGGAAATACAGTATAGATTAGTTTTTAAGCAATTTAAATAAAATTTAGTAAATCTCCGTCTTAATATACATAGTATACAGGACAGGCTTTAGAACTAATGTCCTCACTTTATTTTCAGATGCAATTCTTTTACTTCAGATTTCTCAAGATCAAACAGTTTTCTAAATAAAATTCTTTATGAATAATGATATGTAAAAGGAAAAATTATGTGCTAGACTGTTGAAAAAAAGAGCACACTAATTTTTTAATAAAAGCTATTTAGTTTTTGTAAGACACTAGATTTAAATTTTTTACTCAGACTAAAAGATTTTTTACTATTAAGGTTCAGCAAGAGAAACATGGTTGAATTTTCTTAATTTCCAAAAAGATACTTTAGAAAAGCATTTTGATTATTTAGTTATATATTTTGATGATTTTTGAGAGCCATAACTTGATAACAGAGACTTACATTTTGTAACAGTTATAACTCTTAATTTTGTTTGGAATAATTAATTAATAGCTTTGACAGCTTCTTAGAAATTTTTACATCTTGCATATTATTTTGGAATATAAACTTCATACTTCTATTAATACAAACTCTTACAAAAGCTATGTTCAAAATCATCAGAGAGCTGGATCAAAATTCATATTTTTTTATTTGTTGCATAATTATACATTTTTAACCAGCTTATATCACCCACTACAATATGAAATTAATGATGAACAAATAACCATGACTTGTTTATTTTTTAGTACTTAATTTATATCAGGAAATCATACTTCTTTTTTTAATATTTTTTATTTCACAGCAATGTTCTCATCAGCATTTAACCACTGCAACAATGTAAAGAAATCAGATAGTGATAAAGAAGGGTATCAATTATTTTCATAAAAGCTCTTCGACACAGTTACATATTTTAAATGACTCTTCTTTGGAATGTTTGTTGTATATTTTATAATGCCTAATGTCACCAGATGTAATGATTAATATGATTTCCTTTCCTTTAATAGCTTGTGTTCTCCTCTCAGAGTGTTAAAGGATGTAATCTACATTTTTGGTCAATCCACCTACTTTAAGCTTTGAACTTCAGTTATGTTGATAGCTGCTGTATTGTGATCGCTTACCTTTCCATTATCGTAATAAATGCTGTTATCTCTGCGATGAAGTTATATTTCAATTTATTTATATAACAAGTTATGCTCCCAGCAAATTAGAAGTCTTTTATAAAGGCATATAGTAATATTTTGAATCAGCATTTTGAATTAAAATTGATGAACAGTGATTACTTCTGTTTTCTTCTTTTGTCCTTAACGATTATGTAATGGTGGCTATGGATCTAAACCACATCTGCATCAAAAAACTGAATGACCGAAATTACTATACTTGGAAATTTAAAATAGAACTCTTGTTGATTAAGGAGGGTTTATGGGATGTTATTATTACAAAACCTCCATCTCCAGCAAAGTGGATTTCGAAAGAAGGAAAAGTTAGAGCAACTATAGGACTTTCATTGGAAGATAACAAATTAGGACATATAAGAAAGTGTATGACTGCGAAAAAGGCATGGAATATTCTCAAACAGTACCATGAAAAGTCAACACTGTCCGGAAAGGTTGGGCTTTTGAAAAAGCTGTGTAATTTGCAGTACAGAAATAAAGAACAAATGAGCAACCATCTAATGAAATGGAAGCTATTGTGGATCAACTAGTAAGCGTTAGGTGAACAAATTTCAGAACCTTTATTCATTGCATTTATTTTAAGTAACTTACCTGAAAATTATGCAACGTTAATAACAGCTTTAGAAACACGACTAGAAGCAGATTTAACTATTGAATTGGCTAAAAATAAATTTTTGGACAAGTATACTCGTCAAAACGAAAATAAAGAACCTGGTACAGGAAGCGAGAATAAAGCTTTAAAGTCACATTCTTCTTTAATGTGCAAGATTTCAGCTGATAAAAATAAAGTAGCTAATTGTTTCTTTTGTAAGAAATTGGGGCATTTAAAGGCTGACTGCAAGAAATATGTGAAATAGAAGATTAAGCATAATCAAAAGCAACAAGTCAATGCAACTATGAATTCATATGACATTAATGAAGCAAAACAAGTTTCTAATCACCCTTGCTTTACAAGTGCGAATAATTTACATAGTTACTGGTGTATCGATTCTGGAGCCACCATTCATGTGTGCAATGACAAAACTCTGTTCAGCAGTTTTGATAGTAATTATGTTCCTGAGCAAATAGCTTTAGCTAACAGATATACAATGCTTAGTCAGGGAAAAGGTAATTGCTTGGTAAAATATCAGAATAATCAAAATACGGAAATACAGATTATGATTAAAGATGTGCTTTTCGTTCCGCAGCTATCTGGAAATTTATTATCCGTAAAGAAGCTGACTGATAATGGATATGATGTTTGTATGTTCTTAAGGAAAGTGAGCATGCTCTTAGTACGAAACAAGTCCATACGGAATGCATTCATGACTGGCATATAAAATAAGGTCATAGAAATCCTGCCGATATTTTTAAGGATGTACAATGAATCTATGGCTGAAAGTATGAATATTGCTCCCTGTTCTACTGTACTGACATGTGAGGATTGTATTGCTACCAAAGCATGCAGAGAACCATTTCCGAGAAAGTCTACTTCGCGAACCTCCGATATACTCAATTTAGTGCATACAGATCTTTGTGGGCCAATGCAAACTGTAACGCCAGGTGGTACATGATATATACCATACCTGCCAACCTCTAAAGATAAAAATTCAGAAGATTTCTTCCCCAAATTCAGAAGAACATGAAGAATTAATATCATGCTTTGATATTAAAAAAATAACAATTTATACAAATAGAAAAAAGAAAATTGTACTTACATTAATAAATCTCAATTAAGTAGTAACTAAGAAATTTATTAGGAAACATAAAACGAGAACTTAAAGTTACACAAAAAAAATTATTGCAATGAATTTAGAGTGCATTTTTTGGCTTTAGCCAAAAATTCTTTGGAAAATTTCCTGTCATAACAATTAGTTCCTCATAACATTTAGCAATTAAAATGTTTTCTAGAGTTTTTGGTGAAATTGAAGAACGAAACATAGTTTTGTTTTTCTTCACAACACTGATGACTCTCTCGCACTCAGTACTGTGTGGAATTACGAGAATAGCACATAAAATTCTTGCTAGTCTATCATATTTTGGTGTTCTATCAGCTCTTTTTATTCTTTTTAAGGTACCAACAAGGACATCAAGTCTATCTTCTCCAGAACTGGCAAAGTCTTCAAACTTTGCAGCAGAAAATTGGTTCTGTAGTTCATCTAAAGCATCATTATAGCATTCATTTTCTTTAATTGTTAACAAAAATGGAAATTTATCAATAAAAAAACGAATCTTTCCAAAAGATGAATTTTCAATTTGTTTCATATTTGCCACTTCAGCATTTAAAAGAACTTCATTTTGCAAAGGAAACTTCCTTACAATGTAATCACAGGCTGAGGAAAAGTACTTTCTAACACATTGGAAAAATTCTTTTTTCTTATGATCTTTCAAAGAATTTACAAGTTCCTGGTTTGATTTCCAATTATAAGATCATTGTCATCCTTTTGATTTGCCAAACTATTATAGGCAACACGAATCAACACACTGTTTTTCACAACGGACGGTTTTACAAACTTAGTATAAAGTTCTTTCAAAAGATCATTAAGAATTTGGATAAGCAAGGGAGATTTTGGCGAAGCTGATTGTAGAAGGGTATTTACACTTTCAAAAATCTTAATGGTACTTAACACAAAACTACAATATGCTTTGTTCAAATCCGAAGAAAGAAGATAGAAAATCCTTTCCTCCCGGCTGATAGAAGACTGTTTCCTCTTCCCTTCAACTTCTTTAACAAAGTTGACCTTTGAGGAGTCTTCTAAGCATTTTCTTTTTAAAGGGTTTGATTCTGTGTGTTGGCTTTTCCCTTTAGAAATATGTGACAACGATGGGGTAAAGCTTCCAATCGCTGTCGTTGCTGCCATCGATTGACACCAAAAATGCTGAGTTCTGGAGTGCAGCTATCATTTTACTTTGTGCATCGCAAACAATTTCGTTCACAATAAAAGATGTTTTCGTGTGAGCACAAGCATATTTCTGAGCAATCTTGGAGTCGGGAAACATCCGTCTGAAAAGTTGACCGGCGTGATCGGCAGCGCTTAGCGGCACGTTGTGTTCAATGAGGAATGCAGTAAACAAACAATCTGCCAAAATAACATCGGCATCCGAATTCGAAAAAAAAAATCATCCACTTTCTTTGACGTTGTCGAAGCCGAAGCATTAACTTCATGCTTTTTAGACTTAACATGCTTCACAATGTCGCTTCTTCCACCGTGACTTATTGTGAAGTCACACACGCACGCGTTGCAAAATGCATAGTTATTTCCTTTGAAGGATTCTTTAATTGTTGGAATTTCGGCTGTGTAGGCAGGCCGAAAGTATTGAGAATACCGTTTTTTTTTAACTCATTTCGTAACAAAGACGTATTAAGAAAATTCGTAGCGCGTGCAAAACAAAAAAAAAAAAAAAAAAAAAAAAAGAGAATGCGACAATCCACGCTTGCTCTGAGTAATTCCCTTGCTGCTGAAGCGAATGCGAAAAAAATAATCTGGCGCCCACAAAGAAAATCTTGGGGAAATAAGTTCAGCACATTGGATTGGCTGGTTAAGCGGCGAGTTGGGAGAAACCGCAGGTTACTGTATTCGAAGTAGTCGGTAGTTGGCCGTAAAACACGATGCAATTGGCGAAAAATTCTAAAATTTCAACAAAAATCACTAAAAACACTTGAAAAAGGAAAAAAATCGTAAAAAAATAGATTACGATCATAAAATCGTAAAGACAAACGCATTTTCGTAAAAATTACGAAAAATTAGTAAAAGTTGGCATGTATGTATATACTAACAGTAATTGATGATTATCGTAGATACACTACAGTTTACCGTCTGAAGCATAAAGAAGAAACTAAACAATGTATCGCACAGTTCATCAAACAAGTATTAGCACAGTTTGGGAAAGTACCAAAATGACTGAGATCACATCGAGGAGGGGAATATACAAGCAACAACTTTGAAAATTGCTGACAGAAAATGAAATAATACATGAGAAAACAGCTATATAAATTTTGCTCAATTTGCAAAAGCAAAACTTTTTTTTTTTAAGCCACTTGTCAGCCAAACTGGCTTAAAGTGAAAATGTAATTATCATTAACTTACACAGATAATCACAATTTTGGCATTTTAATCTATTAGCATTAGCATTTCCAGGCTCTTTAAAAAGACCTATCAAATCATACAGAGTAATACATAAAACCAAAATAACACCAATAGTAAAAATGATATAATGAATACATAACCCAAATAAATAGGAATAACAAATGCAGCACAATTTCACATTCAAAACTGCAAAGTGTTATGATATTAATCGATTAAATCAAAGCAATTCAAGGGCTATCTGCTAATCCAAAACTGTACAGACAGAGAGCACAATAAAAGGTTCACAGATGGTGGCAAGGGTGATAGTGCTTTAAAATGAAGCTCAATAATAAGAGAAGCAGGAGAGAGATAATCATCATTTGCCCCATCAAAGTCACTATATTTAGTTTTTGAAATACTACAGTATGCATAGCTGTTTAGATGGACACTTATTTTCTATCATACACTTTGTAAGCAATAAAAACATCCAGGAAAACTACAATAAATCTACATGCTCTTTTCCAATTAATCATCCTTTTCTTCAAGCACTGGGGGGGGGGGGAACATTCCAGTAAATTTTCCTTTCAACATTTTCTTGTGGAAGTGAAAATGCTTTTTATATTTCTTTCATTAGTCAGAAAAGATACTAATATAATCTTTCATAAAGGTTAGATGACTAAAACGGAACTTTTGCAAAGCAGGTGAATACCAACATTTCTCTTTCATCTTCAGTTTAATTCATCAAGTCAGAAATACACATTGATTTGAATACCTTATAAAATATTGCTAAAAAATATTTAAAATAGGAATATACAAAATTTGAGCAAATGAATACAACTTAAATTTTAATGCGAGTATACAATAAGTACAGAACTTTTTATTTTAAAGTTTCACAATAATTAAAAACTATACCTGGTGCAACACCAAAGAAACCATATTCAGGATTAATAGCTCTCAACTGTCCATTTTCATCAAACCGCATCCAACAAATATCATCACCAACACATTCTACTTTATATCCAGGTAAAGAAGGATTCATCATAGCTAAATTTGTTTTCCCACAGGCACTTGGAAATGCAGCGACTACATATTTTTTCTGGCCTTTTGGGTTAGTAATACCTAAAATCTAATAAATTAAGTTGTTAACTAAATATTAAAGCTATTGTTCCAAAAGTAAATTTATCATTCATTATTAAACTTATGACAGATAAAAAGTTATACATTTATGAATAAAATTAAATCTGTAACTTACAACACTAGCCACTTAATATTGAAGAATAAATTCCATTTTTATATACTTGATTCTATAAAAAAGAAATTAAAACATAAAATTAGTAACATGACAACCATGAGTTTGGCATAGATTTATGTCAAGATCTCAATTAATTTCAAAGGAAAACAGATATTAGTCCTTCTTCATTAGGAGCAAAGAAATCTGGCATATTTCATCGAATTGCATGAAAAGAACTGAACTAAAGGAAATAGCACTGCTTCTAGATAAAAATGCAAATCTTGTACGGCAGATATGTAAGCATACATGTGTGTGTAGGCGGAGCCAGCAAAAAAACAGGCTTTGTAAGCATGTGGAGGGGTAAGACGAATTGTTGTTCGCTAGCACACCTCGGCGAATTTTTTAGTGTTATCTTGCAGCAATTGGTTAAATTCACATCAGAACAGTAAAAATGAGTAACCACCAATGATGATGGAATGAGGTGACGAATTGTGGGGAGGCTAGAGGCAGGCCAATCGCAAGTACAGATATGCAGAGAGTTTAATTAAATGCCCAGCGTCGTATGTAACCTATAGAAACAGTTCAAAGATACTGGATCCATTGAGAGAAAGCCTGAGCAAGGTCGTACAAGAACCAGGATGGCCAGAGAAGATCGCTATTTGTCCATTTTAGCGAGGCATAACAGAGAGGCTACAGCTTCTCAGCTCTCTTGGGACCTGTATGCAGGCACAGGAACCTGTGTAACAAGGGTGACTGTTTCCAAAAGACTGAATGAGAGAGGGTTGATTGCCAAGAAGGTAGCACCATCTATTAGCAAAAATATTACTGAAATTGACAAATTAAGCTAATAGAATCTTAAAAGTGTTAGGAAGAACTGGATTGTAATTAAAGTCATTAACTAAACAAGATAACTCTTTTTGAATGTAAAAAGCTTCAAGAAAATTCAATTTACCCACTGAAGAAGCTTTTCAAATGATTTTTGCAGACCTACAGTCAAAATGACTAAATTTCCAACAATGATTAGCTATCAAAAATTTGTTAATTTCGCCTTTTCAGACATAAGCTTCATGTTCTTTGATACAAAACTTTAATGCTCTTTTAGTTTGGACAATGCATCTCAAACACACTGACACAATATGCTATAAATTCCCAAGAATTTAAGAGTCGAGCCATGGATTTTAGTGATAGTAAAAGACTAGAATTCATTAGAGAAAATGACTTGAATATCGAAATTGTGAAGAATCCGTGCAATTTTGTAACTGACAGAAAGATGTAATGGAAGCATGACAAAGTTATTTCCAATAGTGGAATGTCTTTTTTGATGGCAAGTGGGAAATGTTTTAAATGCTTAATCAATAACCACGGGAGAAAATCATAGATCAATGGCAACTGATCTCAAATCTGAGGAACAAACTTTGAGAGCGTGAAATACATAATAGTAAAAAGAAACCATTTTTTGATTAGCCAGGTGACATGACTTTGTATGGAGCAATAAACAGACAGAAAAAGGTTTACGGTAAACAGTAGGCTGAAATCAAATTCATACAACAGTTGTGCCTACTGCCTTCCAGTCTTTCAGATTTCTTTGATCCTGATGAAACGAGAGCTATACCTGCTTGCCCTCGAAATCTATCAAGACCCTGACATAAATCTACACCAAACTTAGGGTTGTCGTGTTACTAATTTTATCTTTCACTTGTCGTGTTTCTCTTCTACATTCAAGAAATTAAAAGTTACTGTTTCTAACTCAAAATAATAGTTCACAACTGCATGAAATTTAACAATTTTTACTAAGTTATAGTGTTTCAGAATATGAGAAACGTGATCGCTGTATTTACAAAATTTATGTAAACAATCAGCATCAATAAATAAAAAAGAAATCAGAATGAACTATACTGCCTTGTACAATTCTACAAGCATATAGGTAACTGAAAGTTTTATGCTTGCTAGTGTCAAAATTGCAAAAATTCATCAAAAGCTACATGTGGCGATGTTACATTAGTTCAGCATTAACCAGATAAACAGAACCAAAAATTAACCACATATTTACCAGATAAACATGCAAACAATTTAACAATTGCATTAGATTTTTTTGTCAGCAGGCTTCCTCACCAACTTGATGCATAACTTCAAACTGTGTCATCAGGGATGAATTAATTTCAGTTCATCTTTTCTGGTAGGCAAGTGTAATTTCTGGATCAGTTCAAATGTATAACTGCAAACTTAACCCCTTCCGATACGACCCCCCCCCGGTTTTTTATTTTGAATGCATAAATAAAAAATATTTAAATATTGAATTTTGGAACAATATTGAAAGAACTTTTCACACCATTTAACTGAAGTTAATTCTTCACACCAACCATAAATAAATCTTACACACTTCAATAAACTCGACACTCGGTGACTTTATCGCTTGCGCCGGCGAAATGAAAATTTGCGCCGTCCAAACGGAAAAGTACCGTTTTTCCTTTACAGAAATATATATTGACCGATGCTCACACTAAATTTTTACAAGAATGAAATCTTACAGACTAACAACAATTCGGCCATGACTTGTACCAAGAAATTCTAACGGTAAGCAATATGTGATAGGATCTGTGATATTTCCACAAGTAAAAAAGGTGTTGTCAAATTCAGTACACCAGAAATTTTAAACTAAATTAATTATCATATTCAACAGTATGCATGACGAGTGTAGCTCATCATTGTGCAATATGGCATGAAAAACCAATGACGAGTGTAGCTCGTCATTGTGCGATATGGCATGAAAAACCAATGACGAGCTAGACTCGTCATTTTACCTGAAGGGGTTAATTATGAAGAGAAAGTAAAAGGAGGAGGATACAAACCTCATCATACTCAGCTACTGATATTTCTTTTTTGGAGAAGACTGTGCTTTGTTGCCCAATTCCAGGATTATAATCTATTATGTAAAATTTAACTATCCTCATAAGTTTTGGATCTACCTGGAAGTGCAAAACTAAGCAGCTACTTGAAAATTTAGTGTGTTTTATTCTCCCTATCTTCCTTTCAGTAAGTTTATGCTGAGCTACTGATCTCTTTCTTTGGAGAAGATGTGCTTTGTTGCCGAGTGAGGGGTTTCCAAGTTTTTATTCTCTTGTAATACCCATGAAAATCTACTATCCTCATATGCCTTTTGTATCAGCCAGATAGTGAGAGTCTGAGCAGTTATTTGGAAATATAGATTGTTATTTCTATCATTATCTTTTCAGCAAGTTTATTTAGTATACTAAAAATCAAGTTTTTCTTGTACAGTACAGAGCACAGCCTTACTCTTAATAAATAAATACACATTATAGTGAAAGAGTGTGTTTCATATCTGTTTGTTGGATAACTTCATCATAGCAGGCATGAGAAAGGAATCTATTTTGAATAAGTCACTATTATTCATCATAATTCCCACCTTCAGCAGAGTCCAATTATTGTGTAGAAAGTTATGCATCATATGTTGTTGAAGTGGTGATATCATAACAATAACGGTGGATTATCCAAAGCACGATTTTGGTCCATGTCTGTCATGATGAGAGGTTGTTCAGCTAACAAAGTTAAAACACAGGCTTTCACTTATGATCCATAAAGAAAAGAACTATATTTTATATAATGAATGTCATACATATTAATGCTGAATATGTGGAATGCCAAGATTGTGCATGATGCTATGCAATTTCCTGATCTTTTTAAGAGAAAACAGACTGCTGCATAAGCAGGGAGGAAAAAACTGTTCTTTCCATGTACACAGCAATCTGTTTTTGCTTTAAAAAATTAGAAAATTGCATAAATTTACAACTCGGCACAAATTTAGCTAAGAATGATTATTAGCACTTCAACACACAAAAACAAATGAAAATCTAGCATAAAAAATTACTGGACTATGTTCATTTATTCTGCTCATTTGTAACAATGATATTGCTGATGCGATGTAAACATGACTGGCAACCTGTTAACAGAAAAACACTTAACAGAAATATTTATCACAGGTGTATTTCTAATGTTGCTATATAGATGCAATGAAAAGATACTAACCAGCATATGCTCAGCTAACCATCCTTCTCTTTTGGCTAGAATAGATCCAATCCTCAAAGCAAAACATTTCTTTCCAAGAAGTGAATTTCCACCATAACCACTTCCAAAAGAACAAATTTCATTGTTAGCTGGGATGTGAGCAATGATTGTTTTCTGTGGATTACATGCCCAGTTGTTTACAGGGGGATCTAAGTGAGGAAAATTCAAGACAATTGTAATTTACACATTATGCAGTAAAAAAGCATGAATAATTATTCAGCTTGTAGAATTTTTACATTACACTACATTTTAGCAGAAATATAATTCCTGTAAGAAGAATATTAATTTCAGAACCTGTCAAGTTATATCAGCCGTCAAATAAACAAAATTTCAAATTCAAATTATTAATTTCAAAGTACATGCTTATAAATGTAAAGTAAATTAAAGGTTCTGATAAAACAGAATAAACTTTCAGTATTATTTTCTTAATTTATTATTCAACTTAAACATGAACATACATTTATATATATTCTCATGATTTTTTAAACAAAAATAAATCACTGTGTACATGATGAGAACAAATTCAGCAGTGTACACATTAAATATTATGTACATTGTATGATACATTAGAGTTATTTACAAGTTCATGTATCATTAGAGTTGCTTCCATCTAGTTACATTTTGCAGTAACAGTTATGTCTGCCATTAAGTGGCACCTGAACAAGAGAAAAGTGCCAAACATTTTAATTAGAAAAGTTAAAAAACAGTGTCATTTAAAATGTCATATAGCAAATAGCAAAAACTGGCATTGGTATTTACTATTATGCAATGAACTGGTCCTGTTAATATAACTTCAAAACATAGAACTCTGCCAATCTTTCACATCTGCAAACAAATATTCTTATAATCAACATTTCAAAAGATATCTAATTTTTATAGCAACTTTTAAACAGAAAATGGTAGTTACTCAGTACATCATAAGTTAAAAGTTTAAACATGCATGCAATTTTTAATACTGTAACCCTGTACATTTTTTAAGAATTTAAAAACTTACTTTTCATTGGAAGTGGCTGACCCACAGAATGTAAGCATTTCACAAATTCTTCATTACCAAGTACTTTGAGAACAGTAGAACCCATTCGTGTCATAATTCTCATGCAAGCAACAACATATGGAGAATCCGTAAGCTGAATTCCAATCTTTGATAATGGAGAACCAATGGGACCCATACTAAATGGAATGATATACATTGTCCTGCCTGATAAAAACATAAAATTATTACTCAAAAATAATTAAAATCTTATTCTAAAGAGTTACTAAATTATCAATATTAGGATAACTTAAATTGTAATAGACTTCATTTAAATGTTTGTGTCGTAATAAAAAACATAAAATTTGAGATATTTTTTAAAAAGCCAAAACAAGTACTTTCTTACTTGTAAAAAATTTTTAATCTGTTCATTAATATTTAACTACCTTCAAAATGCAATGGCTTTCAAAAGTTAAACACACAACAATGCAAATTAGTAATTTTCGAAAACATCATTGAGTTTGAGTGGCTACAAAGTGCTGTGGATACAGATAGCAGTATGCAAATACCATGTGTTACAGCCAATCATGTTCAAACATATACTAATTAAATCAGGTCCAAACTTATACTGTAAAAACATGTACTATAATTAGGCAGTCATTGAAGATGTCACCACTCTGAAGGATTTGAGAAGATTCATTTAAAAGGTGACATGACGTGTGTTTGTAACTTCGGGTTATTTTTAATGATACCCATTTTTCTAAAGCTGAAAGAAGACATATAGCAGATAGTGTGTGCTGTTGTGCTATCAGACGAATTGAAGCAGCACAGTCAAAGATGTCACTCTTTTTGTTGATATTGCATGGAGGCAACATTGTCAACAAGTATTTGAATGCATATAGGCATTTCTCATATAGAGTGCCTGTCGTATTCCCCCCACCTTAATCTGATTGAAAATCTTTGGGATGCTTTCTGAGCAAGTTTACCTCCTGTAGACGATCTCAGACAGCTCAAAACTGCTCTAATGTAGAAATGATCATTGCCAGCATCTGCAGTGCCTTATCGCCTTATTGAAAATATGAGCAATTGCTGTAAAATTTATGAAGATCCAAGGTGGTTACACATCTTATATTGCTGTAAAATTTATGAAGATCCAAGGTGGTTATACATCTTATTAACATACATTTTATTTGTTTTTAGCTTTAAATAATAATTTGTTAATGACCCAAATGTGACATCATACAATTCAGGAAAATTAAATATCATTTTCATCTTTATACAAAAAGCTTTTCTTTTATGCAAAATCATATTTGTTACCTTCATGCACAATCTGCCATTAATCAAAGCTTTATTTTTCCATTTTTTAACTATTGCATGTTTAACTTTTGGAATTTAGTGTAATTCAAATAAAGCTTCTATTTTGAAATATATCCCAAATTCTGCATTTTTAAGCTAAAAAGCACAAGCTTAGTTAGCCTAGTTAATGTGCTCAACTCAAAAATTACCTCTAAATATAATTTTACACTGAAGTGCAAACACTACTCTTAGTGTAAGCATACCATAATAATACTTCAAATGTTGTTACAGCAATAAGATTCCTTAATTAAAATTTTACCTCAGTTTACCACACCTTAATTACTTTCTTCTATTAATTTGATGGACTGTTATTACTTTCTGTTTCTCTCTGATATTCTTCAGCTGAAATCTTCAAAAGATATTTTGAATTATGAAAAACTCATTATGGCCAGAAAAAGTTCCTGATAATTCAGTGCTTCTTGATCTTATGCAATTTTAATCTATTTCATTTAGAAATTCAATTACTGTTAAATTAATTTTGAAAAAATATGTCTATGGCAGTTTTCATAAAAATGAACCTGTCCTTAAGAGGTTAATACTGATTTCTTTTATAATGAAAATTTTGTTAATTTTTATCCCCCCGTTTATTAACAATTGATTACACAAAAGATATAAGGATTACACAAAAGATGTAAGGACCCTAAGATATGAATTCTATAGTTTCAGATTTCAGTTTTCTGTGGAGTAGGTTGTATTAGAGGAGAGTATGTTCAAGATTAATAATTGCATTCTGGAAAATGTCGCTCATTTTCAGAGGCAGAAGTCACCATGTTCAAAGGCATAAAAATCATGAGCGAAAAATTATATGTAATAGATATATTCCCCCAAATCCTTTTTCTACTGAATTTGTTTGCATTGCACATTCATTAATAAAAATTCTATAAAACAATTACCTATAAACTCACCTTGAATTTTTTACTTATTTGATTTGGAGGGGCTAAAATATTTAAAAGAAATTAAAAACATCCAAAATTTTGTATTTATCATAACTTTTTTAAATGTTATAATTCAATGGATAAATTACTTACTCAGTAATACTTAGAATAAACCAACTAATAAATGAAATAATAAATATACAAAATTTTAGGGATAAATAATTTAAGTATTTTTTATAAATGTTCCTAAGATGGAAACACTGATTAGCATCAATTAAAAATATGAATTATAAATTATTAAATACTTAAACTTATATAGGTCCATAAATAATTCAACCTTGAAGTTGCTCAATGTAATGACTATTTCATGGTTGAAATCCTAATATACAGTACGTTCTTTTCAAATTCATCAGTTTGTTAATTTAAATAGCCTTCAAAAAATCATCAGGCTGACTCTTCATGAAAAACGTTTCTCATTTAAATACTTATCTCATTTCTTCTTCCCTTAAGTTTCTACAGACCTGACAAAATGCTTTTCAAATATTTCTGAATGATTCACACTATTCAAAAACATTCAAACAAAATTTCAAATTTTAGTAGTAAAAATTATGTAAGTTACTTTTTGTTAAAATGCACATTAAAAACAAATGTGTGCACTGATATTTTATAAACCTGTACTCAAAAAGCTAAAAAAATTATCAATGTAATACATCAGAACATAAAAACATTTTCCATGATACATATTTTCATATTGAGAAATAGATAGCACCTTTCATGCATCCCGGAAAGCGTTCTCGAAAAGCTTTTTCCATATCCTCAGGAGACATCCAATTCCCAAGGGTTCCTTTTACTCCTTCTTTTGGAGTTGGAACTGTATCACTTTTATTTGGAGTAGACATAAATGTTAAACTTTCCACACGAGCAACATCAGCAGGATCAGTCCGAGCCAGCCAGCTTCATAATAAGAAAAAACATTTCAAATTAGCTTCCCCAAGATATATACTGCATGTGATGCAAAGATAATACTTTAAATTTTAAAAAATAAAGAAAAGAAAAGAATTTCCAAAGCTAAAAAAAGTTACATGAAATACTAACATAAATCCTGAAATTTTTACCGTAATAATTTTGAAAGAATGAATTCATTTAAAGGACAATAATTTACTCAAAAAGAACAGATTTAATTACTCGAGTTTCCTCTTTTAATAAGCTCACACCTCAATAAAGAGCATGGTTCAATTACTTAAAGGTAAAAATTTAAGATCCTAAAGCCATAAGAATCTACCTTTACTTGGTTTGATTAATTAAATATGGTAAAGTATTAGATGGCAATCCTTTGGCAGTCATGAACGAGCTCAGCTCCCATTCCAGTGCACTGCAGTGGGTACAATTGAACAAGCTCACATTACAAATTTATAACTAACAGATATTGCATGTATTTGGGAAGAAAGAACTGCTTAATCTCACAGAAACCAAAGGATTAATAAGAGGGATGTTTTCATGAGAACCTTTCAAAATGAAATTATCTCATTTTTATGACTTCTCATGTTACACATCACAGAAAAATATTTATTACAAATCAGAAATAATTCAAAAATAACTTGTGTGTGTGTGTGTGTGTGTGTGTGTGTGTGAAGGACATTTTAAGAGAAATTGGCTCATATTTGTATTCCACATGGAAGAAGCCTCAAGCAGCCAAAACATGTGCCCCAGAGCAGAGGTATTCAAACTTTTTGGCAGTGTGGCCCTACTTGGGACATCAGAGTAATATACCAACCCAAAAGTTAAAACAATCAATAATCTAATTCAAATTTCCCAAAAACTATCACTAAGTTACATTAAAAATCAGGAAGATGTTAATTTACTTTTTTATTTCATAAAAAACAAAAAAATTAGTGATAAAGTTAAACACGATAATCTGAAAATCAATTCTGTATTTACCAAACATTTAGTTAAAATTCTACTAACATACGTCATCTATAAATTAAAATTAAAGAATCGCATATAACATATAGGACCCCCCCCCAAAAAAAATCAGTTTAAAAAAACTACAAAAGTATACATTTAATAACATCAATCAGCTTGTTGCTTGTTTACAAATAATGATATTTCTGGTTCTATTTCGCTCAACTCAAATATTAAAGGTGGCTCTATTGCTAATTTGTTTCCATATTTAGATTTTAGACAGAGAAATTGGGAAAATCCTATCTCGCATATATAAGATGATGCAAATGGTAATAATACTTTAGAGATGCATCAGACAGTTCTGGAATTTTATTTTGAATGTAAAGCCTCGATTCCGCAATTCAAGGTCTTTGAAAAGAAATTTTAACTCTATCAGACGATAACACAGTTTACTTAAGTGAAATGATAAATTTTCAGCTAAGATATGCTGAAAGTCAGAAAATCTTAAAGAATATAAGTGAGTTATTTTATCTTTAATAACTGATTGTACATTTTTCTAGAACAAAACTTTCTAAATTGAAAAATGCTATAAAATTAATCTCCTTGCAGTACAAGTACCCGAAAGCTTTTTGTGTGTGTGTGTGTGTGTGTGTATGTTGCAGTACAAGTACCCGAAAGCTTTTTTTTTTTTTTTTTGTGTGTGTGTGTGTGTGTGTGTGTAAAGGCTTTGATTTAATCATTAGTTATAAATATATTTAATTGTTCTCTTTGAAGACTTAAATTCAACTCATTCAGTTTGCGAAAAATATCAGTTAAGCTTGTAGAGACATTAGGTTAATTGGAAGCAGAAAAGATTAAAAATATGCAACTGCCTTCGCTGGGAATCGAACCACGGACCTCTGGAATACCGGCCCAGCATGCAGAACCACTACACCACGAAGGACGCTATGAAAGTGGGAGAAATGCCTTATATACTCCCCTTTTTAAAGGGCGAATAGGGTTTTAGGCGACTTAGTCGCCAAATCCTGGGTGCGGAGAATCATCATCCACAACCCTTTTAGTTCGGGCGCCACTTGTAGAGACATTAGGTTAATTGGAAGCAGAAAAGATGAAAAATATGCAACCGCCTTCGCCGGGAATCGAACCACGGACCTCTGGAATACCAGCCCAGCGTGCTGAACCACTACACCACAAAGGATGCTAGGAAAGTGGGAGAAATACCTTTTAAGCTAACCTACATAACAACTCTTTATCAGTTAAAAAGCATAAAAATTTTTTATCATTATCATCCTCATTTAAAAACACAAATACTTAATCTTTCAGCTCAAATAGTCTCATTAGGATTGTACCCTTCAACAGCCAATGCAACTCTGTATGTAAAAGAAGCTGCTGATATTCACTGCCTATTTCTTCATATATTTACAAAAAAAAATTTGAGTTCAGAGGACGAGCCTTTATAAAACTTATTATTTTATCTCCAATATCTAAGATAAACTTAGTTCAGTGGCCTGTTTTTCAATACAAAATGCTTCTCTATGAATCATACAGTGAACCCATACCCTGAGAGACTCTTCGTCTGTATCATATCCATAAGCTAGATTTTAAAACAATGATTTCAAAAAGTCAGAGTCTATCTCTTTGAAGTTGTTGTTCAAATTATAATCGCTCCAGAATTTAATAAAATTTCACATATTAAAAAACAAAATTTTTTCTCAAGAAAGTTTGTCAGTGATGTATTTCCATTCAATTAAATTTATTTACAATTTGGTAATCTATCTTGCTACCGCAATACAATTTTTCACAACCCATAGATTGAATACCACAGTCCTAGATTATTACATCAATAACTTGTAAAATCTAGCCTTTACATGACAATGATTTCACATGAAAACAAAACACAAACGGCTAAATTTTATTAATTATATTGGACAACAGCAAATTTTATCTTTCTTCTTGTATCCTAGGTGATAAATATATTTCATTATAGAACCTGTACAGATCCAAATGAAAACAGCAATGAAACTGAAAGATTAATTAAAGGGTACTTACATATTTTACTATTGACCATTTGAAAGGGGAAAAAAAAAAGAAAGAAAAATTTGCCAAACAATAATGGATAACACACTCATAAGATCTTTGCTTTGGTCAGGGCTGTTCCTAGCAGAGGTACAGTGTGTAAAAGTATGCCAATAGCCGATTGTAAGTACTTGTCATATGTAAGTATGTTTTATACAATTTGTCATATGTAAGTACTTGGTAAGTATGAAATAAAAATTTTATTTTTAATTTGGGGTGGCAATCTTAGGAAAGTGCACGGGCTTGGCTTTGGTCTTACATAATTCCAATTAACTCTCAATAAGCCAGTTTAGTTTTTGTAAAGAAGGATTGATTCAACTGCTATTTCTGTTTCTCACCTGCATTTGGGGGGCAGAGGAATAATTAAAATTTGAGACACACTTTTTAAGGAACAGCTTGCAACGGAGTATTGTAGAAGTAGTGGGATCATGGCATCAAAACAATGTGCATTAACAAACACAATATGGGACTTGATTTGAAAATAGATAAACAATGGTGTTGCAACCCTGAAAAACTGGGACAAACGATTCAAGTTTTTTATATGCTTTATCCATAACTTGTATCTATAGATTATAAAATTAAATAGAGAAAGCAATTCTTATCTAACTAAATAAAATTAAAACTTCTACCAGAATGAATGGTACAAGTTTATGGGATCTCCACAAACTTTTATGGCTGACAGGAAAATATGTTAGAACCAGTTAAAGTACTTCTAGTCTTTAATTTAATTTTTGAATTCATTCTAAGCTGTTCAATCTTTATGCCCCCCCCCACCAAGGACTGTGACTCTGCCCCGTGACAACGCTGCAGCAGTGTGTTAGGAGCTCCTCGTTGAACGAGTTATAACCACGGTAATATTTGTCGTGTGTCTACAAGGTTAGTAACATCGTAAAGGTCTCAACAAGCTACAAATGTTGATGCTTGATTTGTGTTCCTACGTCTTATAATTCCGGAGTTATTGAAATTTTTAAATTCTCATCCATTGTCTACGCATGAGCCTATGTTTTTGAATGAAGAACCGGAAGAAGAAAATGAAGTGCTGCTTTATGCTCCGTCGTTGTTAAGTGATTACTCGCGACCAAATTGCCTTCTGTTCTCAACACAGATATCTGGAGAAAGCTGGCGCATTCCGCTTTCTAACGGTGCAAGAATTGTGTTTGTGGTGTGTGTTTAAGCAAGAGTTATAATTATTTAATTAGAGTCCAATAAAGTGTCATTTTTGCGGATTTCTTCTAGGATATCTTGGCTTCTATTTGGAATATCATCATCATTTATCCTCGGCAAAGTAGGTCTTCTTGTACTCTTTATTTCGGTACCCTTGCTTTGAATTTATCTTTATTAGTTCATCTGCTATGCAACACTTTTGTGTTATTTTTATAATCCGTAACTCACGTCCCCCCCCTACTAACTTCTTCCAAGTCGAATTTTTCGACGCAGGGGTTGCAAGGTTGTTGTTTTCTCAAGAAGCCCCTCAGGGTTAGCATATTAACAACGACCTTTCCCCTCCACCTACAAAGCGCATGCGCGCTTGGCACAGAACCTGTTGACACCCTGTGACATTAGAACTTTTTACCGCGCGGCTTTGTTTATGTTTCGAACTTTCAACTTTGTCATTTATTCGCCCATTCATGTTTATGTTACAATCTTTTTATACTTGACACTATAGATGTAAATTTATTGATTAATGAAATTTACTGATTGAAATATGTATAAATTACTGAACTATTGATATAAATTTAATAATTTTGTGTTTGCACTTTCTAACCTTTTTTTTTTTTTTTTTTTCCCCCTCTCTCTCTTTCTCCTACTAAAATGTCTGTATTTTGTGGTTTAAGTTACGGGTAGTATAAGTTCTCAAGTCCAACATTAATTTTATTTCCTCTATGACTTTCTAGTTAAGCTGTCTTCAAGCCTTTTCCCCTCTCTTTCCCCCCTTAACTTCCCCTTCTTTTTATTCTCTGATAACTTCGCTTCTATGTAACTTAGCGGCCTCAA